CAGCTTACGATGTATTGTTTTATTTATTGCAGATGTGAACATATTCCAATTTTGTGTTTGTTCAATCACTAGACTACTACTGCTTTATGTACTGATATTGAGCATAATTTCTAGTCTTTCTTTCTTCAGCTTTTAGTATATTGTTTTATTGATTACTGATGTGCATATCTTTCAGTCTGTGTTAGTTGAACCAAGAGTGTTGTTCTTTATTTTTATTTTATATGGTTTCCAAATGATGCCGTGCTTTATCGAATGGTAACACAGATAAGATAGAGCATATTACTTCTACCTATATAAAAATACGAAACCCTCTAATGAAGTGCTTTCGAAGGGTGGACCTTTCTTCATCATTTTGCCCCTGACACACATATCAGACATGCGTCTCTGCATGAAAAACATTGCCTGATGTCCATGTAGATCACGTACTTGTGGGGAAAAAATTCCAAAGCAAAACATGTCAACTGGAAACTTTTTGAATACTAATTTTATAGACTTTCAGGAAATTTTAGACGGGAAAATTATATAAAAATGAATTAAATCACAAAAATTAGCTCAAATGTACTACAAGAAGGAATACTTTAATAATAAAAAGTCCATTATCTATTCGAAGTCATAGGTTGGCCTGGGCGTCCCATGTCAAAATCATGATGAATATGATAGTTTCCGCGTGAATGTTGGCTCCCGTATGTGCTAGTTCGCATGTTATTATGGAAACATTCGTCGCTTAACTAGCGGTCACGAACATGTGTGTGTGTCACGAAGTCAAACAGTTTTATAATCAAAGGATTCTAGGAAAGTTTCTATAAAGGAAAACAGTCTCATCATAAGCTGACATATACCCGGTTTCATTTCTAAATGAGTTGTTGCTGCAAGTAATAAACGGAAAGTTTTCGTGAAAGATTTGTTTGTTTCAGCGCAAAGCTACACAATAGGCTATTACGCTCTCTCCATCACAGGTAATCTAACTACGGATTTTAGTGTTGAAAGTCTGCAAACTTACCGCTGACCCACTTAGGAATTCTAAGAAAGGATTAAAATTCTTAGAATTTTTGTTGTTGTTGGCAAAAACATCTTCAATGTCAAATTACACGACTAACTGTGTTAAATGGGTAAATCATAATAGCAATATATTTATTTTAGCTCACAAGTGTATGCATATTATTCACAATCCTTAATGTTCAAAGTATATTCACTGTGAATTCAAATGGTTTTTACTTATACTTGCAGGCTTTTTAAGTTCATTACTGATTGCAACAGACTGTTGGAGCAGGTCAGAAACGTGTCCATACCAGACGAAGACAAGAACAAGAATAATGTAAGTATACTAAACTGATAAACCTTCATACATCAGGTTAAAAAATACGTCACCAACTACACATAGGCCCCCATTGGCACAGCGGCAAGTCTGTGGACTTTAACGATAGAAATCGGGTTTCGATACCTGTGGTGGGCACAGCACAGATATCCAATTGTGTAACTTTGTGCTTAACTACAAATACACTATACACACAAAAAGACTTGCACGAAAATTTAGAAAACTTTACCAGGAGTCAAACGAATAAAGTTATTTTCTTTTCTAGTTCTGGAGGAGTGAAATTTAGTACTTCTTTAAATGAGACACGGTGGCTGATCGACAATTAAAGATATGTCTTACAATATACTGAGATATCATTCTATTGCGTTAAGATAAAGCTTTTCAGGTTACTATTTTAGAAATACCCTGTTTGGTTTTTAATTTTACTGAAATATATTCACTACTTACAATCTGAGAAGCGAGGCATATACTACAAGTATCGTCTAATGAAATAATAAAGCAAATAAAAAAGCAACAATTTATTTTTACCCAGGATGCTCTAAAATATTCAAAATTAAAAACAAAACTTATATAGAAATTCCTTATAAAAATTTTCGTGATGAATATTTTATTTTCAACAATAAAATATGGGCTTGAAATAAAATGTATTAAACATAAAAGTAAATTCTTGTTAAAGGTTTAACCAGAAGAGTTGTATAATAATATTCCAGAATTCCGTGAAAGGTTACCCTATTATGTTTTCGAATATAAGAAAAATAGTTTCTCTGTAAAATTCTATACATTCTGCATTCTAAGTATAAATGGGCGATACACGACTTTAATTGGAAGAAATAAAATCCCACATATTTGAATTGCATGAAATAAAATTCAAATTCGAGTTCAATGCAATAATATTAAATAAACTTGAAAAATTCCTCCCCCAAAACATCGACCGTTGAAAAAAGATCTAGCTCGGCAAAGTTATTTTTTCGGTTCACGTTTTCTTCTTATTCTGTTTTTTTTTTACTAGGGAACTCAATCAATGAAACTTGGCCTAGCGGTGGATTCCAGTCATACTCCCCATGTTTTATCTCCTTCTAACTTTCTCGTAAGTCAGCTGTGATTAATGCGGTTGAGTGTCAGTCATTTCCAAACAAAACTCATTAAAAAGTTGTTGTTGTTGTAACTTCGAATTCCAGACATTTTAAGATGCACTTCCATTCCTCAGTAGCGTCGTTGTTTTTCAGGGTTGTTCATGAGGAAAAGTCGATACGACCGACAGCTACTCAACATGACTTATGCATTAGAACACACGTTCAGGTTTGAGTAAGAGAATAAAAAGAAGAGCCTGGCTTGAAACAGATAATATGGGTTGATCAATGTATGTCAGCGTTGGTACGAAAACAAAAAACACTGAATGCACAAACTCCAAAAACGTGAGGTACATTTCTCTGCTATTTTCGAAGATAATTAAAGCTTGTGGATCAGATTCTGATATATTATGTAGGACATTTTATGTAATCCGTGTTGAAAATATTTTTAAATACCAAAACACACGCACACATAACAAGATAAAGACGTTATATGCTCATCATTTTAAAGTCTCAATTCATTGTTATTCACTTGTGTGTTAATTAAGCAACATCCAGCTTTACAGGCTATAAATACTATTTGTTGTTGACACTATTATTTAGGTTTACTGGATAGTAAAGAATATCATAAATTAATTAAGCTTATCATACAGCGCTACTTATTGTTGTTGTTGTTTGTTATTTAGCACAAAGCTACACAAATGGCTATCTGTGCTCTGCCCACCACGGTTATTGAAACTCGGTTTTTAGAGGTATACGTCTACAGCCTAGCAATTTAGATGACTTATTACCGATTTTTTTCATTCATAAACAAAATTAGGTAATGGTGTTGTCTCACTCAGCGCATATTCGCCTAAGAATGCTTTTATTAAAAAAAATAGATAAGGACGAGGATGGTCTAGTAGGTAGCTTGCAGGTCTGCTGATAAAAAGTTTCAAGGTTTGAACCGCGATATTTCGCTGAACACGCTCCGATCTTTCACCTGTGGGGATATTGTAAACGTGACAGTCAATTCCACTATTTCGTGTAGGTGCCTGAGTTTAACTTGTCTCTGATCTAACTGCTTAGCCCCCCCCCAGTGGCACAGCGGTATGTCTGCGGACTTACAACGCTAAAATCCGGGTTTCGATACCCGTGGTGGGCAGAGCACAGACAGCCCATTGTGTAGCTTTGTGCTTAATTACAAACAAGCAAACTAACTGCTTAGCTCATCTGTTGAACAAGGTGTTGTTCACATTAAAAACACTAAAACTGACTTTCAGATGGAATGTAATTTAATGGTAGTGATGGACTGACTAATCGATTACATTTTAATGAAAATAAATTAGAGGTCAACGTCGAGCTTAATAACTTTTGTTTTATGTCTTCTATATTTTAAAAATAGTCTCTGTGAATACGTGTGATGACATGACGTAAATATATTCTAGGAAGGAAGACTTAAGGACATGCAAATTGCTTGATTTTGCTATTGAAATGTCAGAGTCTTTTGACAGCCAAGTGATTGCGTTCTATGCACTTCATTTAGATTCTGTGGGTGCTTGCGCGCAAATGAAGATCTTGATATCGTATTTTAAGATTCAAAATACCTCTAAAGGTTGGTAAAAAGATAAACTGATTTAAAGAATGTTGAGTTAATCAGCATCTGCTTCAGTTACTAAAATAATAAATATTCAGTATACTGGAGGCTCGAAACAGGGTGTAAACCAGCTTGTTTGTTCTTTGTTCTCAAGATATACCTGGAACAGTGTGGTTCATGTGTTGTTTTTCGTTCTCTTATCATCTGGAGTTGGAAGCGTTAATAACGGATATTCTCACCGGAAAGAATGAGAACGATGAGAATAGAGTGTGAACGTACAATCTATTATCTTTAATCTTAAAGGTCAAATATCACGTTTACAAGTGATATATGTGTGAGCCAAAGGCTTAATTCAACACCTTTATCGAGAGCCTTCTCTTTACGGTATGTGATTCATCACCTTAAATTAATCATTTGGAAAATTAAAGTTAACCGGATATTCGTTCTCAATTAGTCTTTATAAATTATTTTCCTCTCTGCCAAATTTACACCAAAGCTATTAAAAATACAAATAACTGAGATAAAAGTTTAGTATTGTTGCGTCTTAATATTTCTTCAAATGAAATTTATAGTAAAGTCTGTTTTTTTTGCCTGGGTATTTTTCTATGAAAATTACAGGTTTCAGCATCAGAAAGTATTATATAATTGTAGTTATGAGATTCGTATTACTGAAATGTGCACCTTGTGTCTGCCTACTTTGGTTAGGGAATGAAGATTTATTATGACACGATAGTGCATAAGTGCAAGACAAGACCGCAGTTACAGATCTTCGTTATTGTCTTACACTTCCGAAATAACGAGTGCAGCATAACCATTCTTGTTAAAAGAGCACATGAAACACGAGAATTACTTGCTAACGTAAATGGCCATGCTTCTAACCGTTCTCTATTTATGCGACAATAACGCTTGTAATTTCTAATCTACTATTAGTTCGTCTTATCAGACAAATAGAAACAACGAGTTTGTGCATGTACTGCTCATTGGAAGCATCTCCGTTGCCATAAGTAAAATTACAATTATAACACTGTGAGATAGCGAGTTTTTTTATGATTATGCTTGGGTTTATCGTTCATTTACTATTTCCTTCCATCGTTTAGTTTATCTATGAATTTTTAGTTACATTAAAACGTTAACTCACATTCTAGCTAATCATTTGTATTTTGAGATATACATGTGTATAATAAAACTGACACCAGATTCCCTAGCGGTGACGTACAGATATTATTAATGTAGCAGAAGAATATGTAAATTTATAATCACACGAGGTTGTACTCTCGTGGCCTACTCTGTGAATAAATACCCCACCAAAAGCTTCACTAAGAGAGAGAGTCATGAGAGAATTAGTGAGTTATTGCTATTTATCATTCGATATTGATATTGAAAGGTATTTTTGGAATATTGTATTTGCTATTTTTTTTAATTAGGTTTTTTCTTTCTGGTTCTTTTCCCTGATTCTATTGTATTCTAAATGTGTTTTGGTAAGTGTTGAATTTATTTCTAAGTGTTGTTATTGTTGAATCAATTGTTTTCTATTGTTAAACCCTGATTGTAGCGGCATGTTCATTTTAGACCGTTAAAAGAGTACACCATGAAGTTTGTACCCATAAAGAAGTGTAATATCAAAACATGGTATATCATGTATATACCCTTTTACTTTTACGAACCTTAGCTCACTTTATGATTTTACCCTGTTTACAGTAGATATGCTCTGGAACTGGGCATTCACCTTCATTAATGTCCATAAGTATTTCCCAAATGCAGATTCCGAAAATAGTTTGGAGATAATAAAGCGAATACATACATCAAAGAAAATTGAAAGAAACGGAAATGAACAAAAACAAACAAACAAACAAGTATTTATTCATATACATCGTAAAACTTTAACTGGCCAGCTTAGATATCTTTTGTAAACACTTTTGTGTGCTGAGGCATAAGAGCAGGTGGAAATCATGTCTATATAAGACGAAGACAAGAGCAATAATAATTATGATATCATACTATTAGTTAGACCAAGAGTCGATAGTGCAGTATCCCACAATTCTTAGATCACCTACTTCAACGATCATTCTCAATAAACATATTCGAGAGAGATAAGTCTTTAACTCCTACTACTTATAGAAACCTCTGTACCACTCTTTGAAATACGTATGATTACACTCCAAGAATGCATAACACAGAAACCGGGCCAAGAAAGTATAAGTTATATAGAACAATTGTTGTGAAATGTAAACCTTGACTCTCTAAGATAAAAGATTAGTGGAAGCATTTGGTCTTCCCACATCCGACTTATAAGTACGTCGTACATACACGCTGAACACCTGCACGAAACTTTAGAAAATAAAATTAGCGAAATACATAGGATACATCTGAATAAAGATATTTTCTTTGCAAGTCATGGAAGGGTAAAATATGATTATATTTCCAATCATCACAGAATTATACTTTACTCAAGTAAGCTAATCTCATCGCTCAGTGTATGTTGTTTTCCAAATGATATACATTTCGTAAACTAGCTGACAAATATCTGTTATCAGTTTTAATTCCTAAGTTTCCTAAATATTGAAAGTTTATAATATCTTTTGTCTTCGTCTCGTTAAGATATTATGTCAACCATTACTTGTTGCACAATTTGGCAGAAGGAATGTACTGAGACAAATTAGATTATTACATACATTAAAGCAAACAAATTTTATTTAGAACTTAACGAGTTCACTATGATTCTTCGCTTTAGTTTATCTGTAAAGCACAAGTTTTATTACATTATAACAAATCAAAAATAGAAATTATGTAAAATTATATTAAATAAATGCAAATATTATGTGCTAGCCTTTGGGAATAACAGAAATGAAAGTAGCTTTTTTGATGAGACTTATTTTTGCAAATGCTAAAGTTAGTTTTAAATCATGTTGTTTAATCTGACAGAATTAACTTAAATCTGTTTAGAACTTAGGTGTGCATAATAAGTATAATGAACGTTGTTTACTTGTCATATATAGTTTGTATACTTAGGTGTTTATTCAAAAGGGCTGGCTTTGTACCATGATTGTATCGTTCAAAATAGGGTAAAAACAGCATTATAAATATTGAAAGATAGGAGAAAATTCGATAATGGATACCTAGCGTCCATATAAGAAGAACCTTAAATATATTTGAATTAATCTATATCATTTTGAAGAATCATCAGAACATAATATTGTGTTAGTATTAAGTCACTCAAGTTTTCCTGATGTACTTCTTTATATGATATATTTAAAATTCATAACTCATTTTAGGCCAATTTCATAAGAGATACTTCAGATATGACTGAAAAATAATTTACTAAGTTAGAGTCACAAACTTAGGCAAAATGTTTCATTAATAAAGATATAATTGAAAGAAATAAAGAATTCATGTAATCAAGGATCTAAATAAACGCTCGAAATAAACTAGGATGGTAATGTTGGTTCAACGTCTGTTAAGAAAATATACTCCAAAGATGTGCCATAACATGGCTGATATAAGGAAATAACATAACCTGATGTGGGATGGTCTTCTGTGGGCATTGATATTCGCAATAAATGTTGTGCATGTGGAGATGTTAGTTTGTGGCAGATTTCAACTGAAAACGATAGAAGATCCATAACATTTAGTGTAACCATACTGGGGTGTGAACTGAGGACTTGATTCAAAATGTCGTGTGAAAACGATAGAAGATCCATAACATTTAGTGTAACCATACTGGGGTGTGTGGGTAGCATTGTCTCAGACATAGAGGCTCAGTATTGTTAGTGTCCTGGATTAGTCTTATGTGGACTGCATTCGCGAATTGCTTTTGACATTTATTCGCTCAAATAGACGAAGTCGTGATCTCAAGAACACTTCTCAGTCACTGCATGGGAGCTGCGTTCTGTTTCGCTACAGACATGACAATAATCTGTGATGGCTTAAACTCCAATTATGACAGGTGGCATTAAAGATCTAATACTATATGGATCTCCAGTACATAAGTTCCTCACCCAACGTGTGCCAATACAGCTAAGAGACACCAGTGCTTTTGTGACATACCTAGGCTTCCACTGTCGTTAGGACACAACCTTTACCTCTTCCAACAATCCAAATACAGTTGTCACTTCATGCAGGAGTAAGATCATATTGATTAGAGTGATGCACATAACACACATAACTAAATTCCTTCGAGTGCTCAGCTGATTACATCAAGCTTAGGTTTGTTATAATGCACAAAGGAACACATATTTTGTTGTACGAGTTTCCATAACGAAATATGATATCGCACATTCTTCCATCTTTCATTATAAACTATTTCAGAATTAATATAGAATACATATTTTGATTAACATGTAGGTCCAATACATTAGATGCCCTCACTTTGGGATCTGCGAAGTTGTGTGAGTATAATTTATAACAAGCAGTATATTATAAATGTTGACTACGTTACAATAACTGCTATCGATTTACCGATACTAATTGAACTGAATTATATCGCTAAGCCTGATGATGACTTTTGCCATGAAGCAATAGCTCGTTACTTTGAAATGTTATAAACATAAAGAAAACCTGTATCAGTTCATCCAAGTTTCAAAGATTTATTAAAAACCAGTAATTGTAAAAGACATATTTGGGAAAATATTGCAAGTCTTGGAAAAATCTTAAATAGCTGGTGCAAATTAAAAAAAAAACAAAAACGAAAAGGTGTTAGCAATGTATTTTGTATCTACTTCAGTCACTGAACTTTGTATCAATAATGGTGCTTAATTTATATACCTACACAAAGGAAAGTCTGCACATAGTCGTCCCTAATTTTGAACTGTTAAACTAGAAGGAAGGCAGTTGTTAACAGCACCCTCTACCAATTCTGGGCTATACTTGACTGATCTTATAGTGGAATTTCACAGTCACTCTTATAACTTACCCACGGCTTTAGATGTAGAACGCGGCAACGAGACACAAACTAAGACTCCTCTAAACATTTATGAAAAGAGACATTTATTCATATTCTGTTTTAGTTGACATTACAGTAGAAAGTCTACGTTATTTTACTGAAATAAAATATAATTGGTCGGCAAAGGTCTTTTTTTTTCTTTAAATAAAAGTAGCCAAGGATATGTTTGTTTGTTTGTTTAAACGCAAAGCTACACCATGGGTTGTTTGAGCTGTGCCCATCGGCGGGTATCGAAACTTTTTTTAGTTTTACAAGTCCTTAAACTTACCGCTAAGCCACTGGGAGGCTCATAAGGTGTGAAGTGACGGCTGACGTTATCCTATCTTTAGATAATAAAACGACCCTCACGTTCTATTGTGGTGTAAACCATAATTAACAAAACAAAAAATATTTTAAAGTTGAATAATATTACATCTAGTTTAAGTTTATTAACATCTTTATTGCTAGTTAGTTAAGAACAACATAATTCACGATATATTTGAAGGATCAATTTTCACACCTTTGAAGGTATAAATAAAATAATGAAGGGAAAATACATCCTGATCTGATAACAAAAGATGTTTTCTATCAATAACCGAGTTGCTGCCTTAATGATTCCGAAACAACTTTGTACACTATTGTTGTTTATTTCCAAAAAGATTTCGTAACAAGCATCTAGTTCAGGAGAAGTCTAATCCAATAAGCTAATGGTCTCATGCGTTGTCTAGACAGAAATCGCTAAACCGTAAGAGAACTAAGTTCTACACACATTCTGTCGTTTTGTTTGTTTGTTTGTTTTGAATTTCGCGAAAAGCTACACAAGGGCTATCTGCTCTAACCGTCCCTAATTTAGCAGTGTAAGATTAGAGGGAAGGCAGCTAGTCATCACCACCCACCGCCAACTCTTGGGCTACTCTTTTAACAACGAATAGTGGATTGATCGTCACCAAGAGGCTTAAGTTCTTTTAATCTTTCTGTATATGTATACGGGTTTCCAGAAATTATGTTTTCGATTTAAAAACATCATAAACGTTTCTTAATTGTTACACATTTTTAACCTAAACGCGAGATTTCAATCATCGTGTTCCAAGGTTTAAATATTTTAGACTTCAATACTTTAACGTAGAACAATAAATTTATTACAGAAACTATGTACACGTATGTAGCTTCATTATGACAAAGAGTTCTGAAATTTTCTTTGTTGTTGCTGTTTCTATGACCGCAAACAAGTTAGTA